CTTCAATAAAAGGAAGTCACTTCTGTGCTCGCGAACGATTAATTTAGATATTCAAGAAAAATTTTTAAAGGTGTATGTTTGGAGCGCGGCGTTGTACGGGTACAAAACATGGACGGTGGGTGCGGCGGAAAAGAAAAGGTTAGATGTGTTCGAAATGTGGTGTTACAGGCGAATGATGAGGGTTCCGTGGATGGAGAAGGTTAGAAACGAAGAAGTATTAGAAAGAATAGGAGAACAGAGGACTCTATGGAAGTCAATAAGAAATAGGCGAGACAGGTTACTAGGGAACCTTCTCAGGCAAGAAGGTCTAGACAGAGACTAATTAGAGGCAGAAACAGGAGTTAGACCTAGATTAGATTACTATTCACAAATAATTAAGGATGTGGGATGTTCTAGTTTTAGGGAAATGCGAAGATTAGGATTGATGACCTTATATTGATGATGACAGTTTTGAGTACAAACAAAATCAATGGTCTGTAATTTTAGGTAAGGTCCGAATGTTTTTGAAAATTTGTATCGAGGTCCACAGAAAACATATTTCTTACTCCACTGAAACTTCAGATAGTGGACCAGTTTTAGACCTTTCGTAGTTCGCTAGTTGACAACAATCGGGTCCAACCTTTACTAAATATTGGAAGAAATCCATTTGACTAAGATTTGAAGTTGAAACGAGTTCCAGTTCTTTTATTTAATTAATAAAACGAAAAGGTTTAATTGTTATCATGGAGTGACCACCTAAACTCATACGGGTTCAATGGGTAATGATAACATCGTAAAAGATATAATGTAATCTCATTATCACCATAAGGTCGTCAGTCCAAAGACTCGTTGGTCACGCACCTCCACTCTTTCCCATCCTGCGCTAATCTTCGCATTTCCCTGAAGGAAGAACAACCCATACCCTTAACTATTTACAAACGGTAATCTAGGTCTACCTCTACCTCTCCTAACTTCCGTTTCTGCCAATAATATGTCTCTGACTAAACCTTCATGCCAGAGAAGTTGTCCTACTAACCTATCTCGCCTATTTCTTATTGAATTCCATAGAGTCCTCTGTTTTATTACTCTTTCCTCTTCATTTCTAACCTTCCCCATCCACGGAACCCTCATCATTCGCCTGTAACACCACAGTTCGAACACTTCTAACCTTTTCTTTTCCGCCGCGCCCACTGTCCATGTTTCGCACCCGTACAACGCCATACTCCAAACATACACCTTTAACAATCTATTTTGAATTTCTAAATTAACCGTTCGCGAGCATAGAAGTGGCTTCTTTTTATTGAAGGCTACTCGACCCTGCGCTATTCTCTGCTTTATATCACTACTACTCCTTCCGTCCTGACTTATCTGACATCCTAGATACCTAAAATCGACCACTTCTTCTAATTTTTGGTCTCTTATCTTTATATTTGCCCGTTCCTTACTTTTCCTTCCCTTGCATACCAGTATTTTTGTTTTACTTTTATTTATTTTCATACAGTACTGTTCAATTTTATTTAAAGCTATCTCTAACTTCTCCTTGCTAGATGCTAATACTGCTATACCATCTGCAAATCTAAGCGTACTAGTCTTCTGCCCCTGTATATCTATCCCTACAGTTGTACTGTCTTTAATCATGTTGATTGTGTCTTCTATGTATTGATTAAAAGGTAGCGGTGACAGTGTAATCTACACTATTATGATGAGGTAAAGTTTGCAAGTTTGGATAAAGGAGGTAAACTTCAAAACTACTTTTCCAGCTTCAAAAATTTTTTCACCCCAATTAGAATAGACCTTCAGAGTTTAGAACATCATATATCTAAATGTATGTAAGGTTATTAATTGATAGAATACTACTTGGAGAAACAAACTGAATTCCAAACAGGCGAAACCTCGAACATCACAGTTAATTTAATAATAGGTAACAGATCAAAACCCCTATGTTGTGAGGCGATTCGTCTCAATTAAATTGTTTATTAAGGTTTTTGATTTGTATTTTACCTTCCTATCCAATGTGCAAATCGTACCCAAACGAGCATTTCTACTTTGTCGTTTATAAAAATCATAAGTTTGACTAGTACGATAAAAACGGTTTTGATTTTAATAAATGTTTTACCTTTTGAACAAAGTGTTA